TTAGCTGGGACGAGAGTGACATCCCAAGAGATGTCCAGAACCAAGTAATTAGAAGAATACCTGGATACCAATTCTTCGAGCCATACAAACACAGCTGGAGAAAATGCAAAGCACACCAAAAGAACATGACAGGCAAACACATGCTAGAGGTCCACCTTTTCGGTGAACCCGGCAACTGGCTGGAGAAACTTGAGAAAATCTAAAAGTATATACAAGACACCACAAAACCATTCTACACTAACATCCAGAAGTCATTCAGAGAAATGGCTGATAAACTTGCTAAGAGAATCTAGAGACTAGTCCAAAACGAATGTGAACCCTTTGTGAGACCCGCTAAGAACACATGATTTATCATCAAATTTAATTTTTAATTTTTTTTTAACCTAGACAGTAAAAGGTAGTGTTGTGAGCATCTACAATGGTTTGATATTCACTGACATAGAGCCAGTTCCATCAAAAAGGGTGATTACAGAGGAATATTCTCATATTGATATTAATAGTCGACTATTTCTATTATTATAATTCTATTAAAATTTTCTTGTAGTATTATGCAAAAATTAATTTATAAATAAAATTCTACAAAAAACCAGTGATTTTGTCTCATGATTAATTAAAACAATCATTAAATTCACTACTCTTAGGAATTATGATTGTTACAGAATGTTATTATTTTCAAGAAAAATCAATTCAATTGGTCCTTTAATTCTATATTAGATTGAATAATTTATCAATAGTGTTGAACAAAACAATTTAAGATAATAAAATTACAGAACAAAAGATATTCATAAAATTAATATAAAACTTATATTGTTGTTATGACCTGAATAACAAACACTATTTAATTTTTTGAATTATATCAAAATCCATAGATTTTAATGTGAAAATTGGTTATTACAATAATATTATGAATGTAGCAATAAAATTAATTAATACAAAACTACTGTCATAACTAATTTTCTTTGTATTAGAATAACATGATTGATCAACCTAATTGTAATTAATTATTTTTTGTAATCAAGCTGCCAATAGTGTAAGATATACTATTCAATTACTATTTTGCAAATGAAATGAGTGGCAATTAGGAATTCCTGTTATAACTTTATATTCTTTTAGAGACATTCCATAATCTACCAATAATTGTCAATTGATTTTAATTCAATTTTATTCTTAATTAAATCTTTGATTAGTCAATCTTTTTACATTCAATTATTAAAAAAAAAGCTCATGATATCATTTTTGAGTTACTTGGGTCTTTGATTTACAAGAAGTACTTGGTAGATTTGCATATATAATAATTATGGATTTAAGTTTTAAAAATAAAATTAATGAATATTAATCAATCCATAGAATTAAAATAATAATAGTTTGTTTATTTTATATTTCATTTGATCTAATTAATACTTTAAATAAAAGGAATAGCTCTAAATTATTTTTTGAATATTGCTTTTTGGTTATCTAACTTCTTTGGATTACAAATTTGGCAATCTAATTGTTCTAACATGTAAAAAATTGAGTACTGAGTTGCTCGAAAAGTCTACTCTTCTCCACTGCTTTGACTCAATTGTTAGATTAGGTTATTATATCGACTTTATCAACACATTTGGAGCTATCATTGATGAGTTCAGAGAAGATGGTTATTATCCAAAACCTATCCAACTTATTATTAATTCAACACTTAATTCAATTAATTTAGAGAGATTGGTTTCAAAGTTATTAATCTGTTTTATTCTATTACTCCTTATCTTTTTAAGTCTTTTTTATTCTCTTTCTGTAAAACTTATAGTTTTATTCATACTCTGTTCTCACATTTTCTATCACTTTTTTTAAAATCTGTTCTTCATCAGGATGATAAACTATTATATAACTGTTCTTCTAGGTTTGATTATCCCTTTTTAGTTATATTAATTCTAATTAGACAATTTCTAATCTTTCTTTTAATTATTAAGTTTAGTTTATTTAAACTGCTGCCAGGTTTAATTACCGCTGAATGTATACAAGCAAAGTTAGTCTGTAATTTTCATCGGTTAGTTTTGAGTTCAGATTGATAAGGTTATCTTTTGTAATATGATTCATAAATATTATTATTATTCAAGACGATTAATCATTCTATCTTAGTTTGATACAAAATGATAATCGCTTTATAAAAAAATGAAAAATCGTATTATAATCTTAAACGTAATTACTGTGGAGAATCAAATAGCAGACTTTAATCAAATATGACATTCATGTTTTTTAATGAATTAAATATTTATTAGGTCACAAATCTCTTTTATATTTCTTAATTGTGGTTCTTAATTAAATATGTAAAAGTTTAATTGCTAGCCAAAAAAGAAATACAACTTACAATCAAAATGATATACATAACAATTCTACTTAGCATAACTGTTTTAGAAATAAGGGATTATCCAACACTTGACATTTTGTTAGGAGTTGGTAATACTAACTTAATTTCATTAGAAAGTACTCACATCTGACTGTCACTTTTAACAGAGGATTTGAAATCTTATTTTTAAATTAGACCAATATCTTATAGGATACTTCAGTCAATACAGAAGTCATGGATTTGATTTCAACATCGTATTCGTTATCTTTGGCATTTTCAATAACAACCATAATCATTTGAAGAAATTGTTCTTCGCTTATGGTGTTTATGTTCAAACGTACTTGCTCAGAAAATTATAATAGGAACTCTTCATATTCTTAGTTTGTTTTTTTGAGTTTAGCAAGTATAATCTTTGGTTGAATAATGTAGATACATAAACTAATATTATTTTCTTATTAGCATTTTCAATTTTTTTTCAACTTAACAAGTATCACCGCATCCGTCATTATTCAAACTATTTCTATCGTCACATTTTTCTAATTGTTTTATAAGATACCATCCCCACAAACATTATAACATAATGGCCCAACCTCTTTGTATCCATTTTGATATTTTAAACATAGTCCTTAGAAGCAATTAAGTCATTTTTAGTGACGAGAATAGGAATATTATTAACAATCATCCCAAATGCATTCTCCATTTTCACTATCAATTTTGAATGCCTCTTTAATTTAGTAATTTTGACATTATTGTTTATTAATGCATTCTCCTCCTTATTTAACTGTGCAAGTTTGAAAATAGGCATTGCATTCCTAATGTTTTATCAGTACATATTAGTAATTGTGCAGTGAAACACTCCTTTATTTACATTTATTTTAATTTATCATCCATTAGCATTCTACATTATTTGAATCGATTTAGCATTATTCTTTTATGGAATAACTACTACAAACATTTAATTATTGGCATCAACCTAAAGCTGAATTACCTGTACAGGAATTTAATCTTTAGTTACATTTTTCATGTGTAGTATATTATAAGATTGAAAATTTTAAATTAACACACTACTTTCTGATTCTAAATAGAAGCATTCATTTCCAGATTAATCTTTATAACATTTAGTTTTTTTGCTAAAAAACAAGCAATTGGAAGGTCAACACATTGAATTATATCTAGTTTGACATTGCAACTTATATTTAAATAATAGGATTCGCATAGTTCATGAGTTTTATTTGAAATATCAGCTTAAGTGCAATTTTCTAAGCATCAATTATTATTACTATTATATTAACACTTAATCAACCAACTATTACAATCTGCTTGACTAATTGAAGGAGTAGGTTTATTTGAACATGTTTTTTCTAAGCATTTAGTACCATCCCAAAAGCATGGGATGCCTTATGAATTACTCGTATCTAAGCACAAAAAACCATTAGTGTACTTGCTACACTCAAAGATATTAAATTATCCTTTACGAATTTTTTAATAAACTAACCGCACATTCTTCAATACTTTAACAATTTTATCCATCCCAAAATCACCCTATTGTAAAAATAGTACAATATGCCATTATTATTAACTATGAGCAATCTAGAGGTTGACATCCTAAGTTATCTAATGACATATAAGAATCCTTCCAACTATGGCATGATGAATGTGTATATGTAGAAATTAATTAACTGCAGCTTCGTAATACCATATACAAGCATTAGAATACCAATAATAGTCTATACCACCTATCGTATTAACGCAAGCCTCTTAATATTTGTAATCTGAGCATTATTATTATTTGTTTTGTGCACTTTGAGCTCATTATAAAGTTGATTGTTTAAAAGACATATCTACCCTGAAAATCTTAATGTGGTCTAGATGTAGGCATGTTACTTAAATTACAGGATGGATTATAGCTACAAGGAGTAGAATAAAGTAGACACCAATTACATTTTAGCCCTCCATAGTCATAATTGTTTTCGCAATCGGATTATATTTGATAATCTTAACAAAACAATGCAATGCATTTGGAAAAGTCCCAATCACATTTTAACCATTAGTGAGTTGCGCTGAACTATAATAAATTTTGATGTTCACTCACTGAACATATTTCAGAGTTTGTAATTTGATCACAATTCATAAAAGCACATCCTTAGCCTTTAGTATAATTAAATCTACAAAATGTGCTATTACTTATTAAACATTCCCGATTCGTTACTGCATTTGTGTTAAGACCACAATCAACATAAGAAACACATTTACATTAAGATTCATAATAATTTTAAAGTTTAAAATAATTTGATATTTATTAAATCATTAATTATACCATCTTACCAATAGCATGAATAAGAATAACATTGTTAAATAAGATCAATAGTTTTACAATCATAGCGGTAAGTCATAAATCGAGAAGTTTAATTTCAGTATACAACCCTTAGCCCCTAAAACACAGTTTTGATTCCACTAATAGCTAATTAATTCTGAAATTTTTTCATTAGATGTTAATTGATCGCATTCATTACAATGATTCAACTATTCATGATATTCACATTATCTTCCCGATACAGTTATTGATTAATTACAAACAGATTATTGATTTAAGTCTGAACAAGAGTGAATTGGTTTATCATACCTGTATGATTTTGAATATTCTTAACATAATTCCTCCTTATCTTGGATGGCAGCCGCAGGAAGAAAGGTATAATTTTATTTTTCAACGTAAAATACGGTGCATACGTAACTACAATTATAACACTATTATTTTTATTAACATAATTATCTATTAATTGTCCTCCTGTTTTCACAATAATAAGACTCTGACTTTTTATCAGAACATTAAATATCTAGCTTAAATCGATTTTCATCGCTGCAACTATCATTATATTTCATAATGGCTCTTTGCACATGTTACTCGACAAATCATTAATAAATAGAATAACATCCTTATCCACTTGATTTAAGAACACAATAGGGATTATATATTTAACAAAAATCATTACTTTAACTTTCAGTAATTAGTTCACAATGTTTGGTCGTAATATTGTACAATAAGAACTATGAAAATAGCATTTTTCATAGTTCTCCATAACGTCTCTTTGACAATCAACAACTCCATCACCATCTTCATCCTCATTTAAACACTATCGTTCTTTATCATTTCAATAACACAACTAACCATTTAGAGTTGTCTTCCAATTTCTTTGTCTGATGTACTCATAACAGGTTGCTTTCTTCCTTTCGCATCCTTCAGCACTAAAAGTAGAAACCACAGTACAATTAGGATTCCTTACATAACATTCTGAATGAGGATTATATATTATAACATTTGGAGAAGATTAAAAATTATTTATGTAATTAAGTTTAGGAGCATCTGAACATTCTTATTGCTTACAATAAGTACCAGTCCAAAAACACTTCGTTCCATTTTGTACATTCAATTAAGACTGCTATTGACTTGTCATTTCAGAACAATCAGTGGGCCATTTGTAATATCCGACTCCAGAAGGTCCAATAATGCAAATCCAGATAACACCTTAAATTATTTCCAATCATTATTTGTTAAATACAAATTTGGATTTGCATCTGTACAAAGTTGATTAATGCATTTTTAACTACTTCCATTCCATTTACACATATATCCTGAAAGTGTTGAACAACATTGATCTTTGTTTGCAAGTTCACAAGTGCCTTATATATCTACACATCCAATCAAGATATTTTAATTTGATAAAACTTAGACATTAACTGTACATTTTGGCATAGACTATTCACATTTGGAATTAGTATTATAAATTGGGAGAGCAGTTTTACATTTCTTCACTATACATCCTTAATTCAATGTGCAAATTGTACCACTTGAATTAATTGTACAATCTTCTATCTCTTAACCATTTTCACATATATACTCTGCACAACCTAAAGAGTCTAAATTAAAAGTGCAATATGCACATGCCTTTTAGCATTCTTTATGATTATGGTTGTTTGGCAATTTCAATTTCTTACATTCTAATGACTCGCATACACCTTTGGCCCAAATGCATCTTTCTTTATTATAGGTCAATTCACAAAACTATTCCTGCAANCATACCTGTATGATTTTGAATATTCTTAACATAATTCCTCCTTATCTTGGATGGCAGCCGCAGGAAGAAAGGTATAATTTTATTTTTCAACGTAAAATACGGTGCATACGTAACTACAATTATAACACTATTATTTTTATTAACATAATTATCTATTAATTGTCCTCCTGTTTTCACAATAATAAGACTCTGACTTTTTATCAGAACATTAAATATCTAGCTTAAATCGATTTTCATCGCTGCAACTATCATTATATTTCATAATGGCTCTTTGCACATGTTACTCGACAAATCATTAATAAATAGAATAACATCCTTATCCACTTGATTTAAGAACACAATAGGGATTATATATTTAACAAAAATCATTACTTTAACTTTCAGTAATTAGTTCACAATGTTTGGTCGTAATATTGTACAATAAGAACTATGAAAATAGCATTTTTCATAGTTCTCCATAACGTCTCTTTGACAATCAACAACTCCATCACCATCTTCATCCTCATTTAAACACTATCGTTCTTTATCATTTCAATAACACAACTAACCATTTAGAGTTGTCTTCCAATTTCTTTGTCTGATGTACTCATAACAGGTTGCTTTCTTCCTTTCGCATCCTTCAGCACTAAAAGTAGAAACCACAGTACAATTAGGATTCCTTACATAACATTCTGAATGAGGATTATATATTATAACATTTGGAGAAGATTAAAAATTATTTATGTAATTAAGTTTAGGAGCATCTGAACATTCTTATTGCTTACAATAAGTACCAGTCCAAAAACACTTCGTTCCATTTTGTACATTCAATTAAGACTGCTATTGACTTGTCATTTCAGAACAATCAGTGGGCCATTTGTAATATCCGACTCCAGAAGGTCCAATAATGCAAATCCAGATAACACCTTAAATTATTTCCAATCATTATTTGTTAAATACAAATTTGGATTTGCATCTGTACAAAGTTGATTAATGCATTTTTAACTACTTCCATTCCATTTACACATATATCCTGAAAGTGTTGAACAACATTGATCTTTGTTTGCAAGTTCACAAGTGCCTTATATATCTACACATCCAATCAAGATATTTTAATTTGATAAAACTTAGACATTAACTGTACATTTTGGCATAGACTATTCACATTTGGAATTAGTATTATAAATTGGGAGAGCAGTTTTACATTTCTTCACTATACATCCTTAATTCAATGTGCAAATTGTACCACTTGAATTAATTGTACAATCTTCTATCTCTTAACCATTTTCACATATATACTCTGCACAACCTAAAGAGTCTAAATTAAAAGTGCAATATGCACATGCCTTTTAGCATTCTTTATGATTATGGTTGTTTGGCAATTTCAATTTCTTACATTCTAATGACTCGCATACACCTTTGGCCCAAATGCATCTTTCTTTATTATAGGTCAATTCACAAAACTATTCCTGCAATATTTTCTCACTTAAATAAGGTGGCTGTCAACATCCTCCATTTAATTTCCCCATACAATTCCCATATCCCTGACAATCTTTATGAGTAGAATGAATTGGAGCATGATAACATTATCTTTATTCACATATTTTTTTATTCCACACACAGTCTTATTATTCTAATGAATAGCATTCCATTTCATAAGCATAACCATTAAATGTCTAAGGTCTCATTTTACATCCTTTGTATTCTGAAGTAACACAATATGACAGATTGTCATAATCCTAACATCATAGATAATTAGTAAGTAACTCTGGAGCAGTATTGCAACATTGATTTTTATGATATTCACATTTTTACCCCAAAGCATCACTACACTACTTTCTTAATACACAATAAACTCCATTAGTTGTACATTAACTTAAATATGACTTACATTCATAATCCTGAGTAAATGGTGGATTTTCACACACCTTTTCAACACATCTACTATTTTTTGAATCCCAAAAACAATTATCTTTTCTTGATATACTTTCGAAGCATTAAATATTATACACATATTGCGTACAAGACCCCATTTATTTGGTACATCCATAACCTTTCTCGCTTATTGTACATCCATCAATCCCAGACTTAAACATACTATGATTGGTTAAATATGAAGGTAATAATTCACATGTTGTGACTTCTGTGCATATTTTCTCTGTTCCCCAAATCCAAACACGGTATTTACCATGATAATTTTTATTTGTACAGGCATTCTCTGTTTTATAATCACTACATTCTTACATTTGTACACTTTTTGAACCATCAGAAACACATTTATAAGACGATTCTTAACATTAATCTTTATTAAAGAAACTGCAATCGACAAAGTCAATACATAATCCATAATCAAAGCCACATTACTCTTGTTCTCGACAATCTTCTTGAGCATAGTTTTTGCACAGAATCTAATTCCTAATCTTTGAATGGTATGAATAACTAGAATGAAAAATACAATAATCGTTTTTCCAGATGCAAACACCAGAATTTTAGGAGTCCTTCAAACTTTGAACATGCCAGCAACTGCATGTTTTGGAAATTTTTGAACTCCTTATTAAATATAATTGGAGTAACAAAGAAAATAGAACCTATTGAAGATCATTTTTTTTTATGTTATTTTTATCAGCATATGATACTCTTTATTCTTAATTTTGTAGTTCCAATTTTATATATAATTTGTCTTAATATTTATTGAATAGTTTTTTTCTTTAATCAAAATTCATATCACCTCATTGAATTTAATCAAATTGTTTTTAAGTGACTACAATCAATTGGTTTACAACGAAGAATTCTTTGAAATAAATATAATATTTAGAATATATTCCTTTCCATCCTATTTAAATTACTAAGAACTAACCAATATAAGCAACTCATACATAAACATTTCGAGAAAATTTTAATTGTATATTAACTATTATTCATGATTAAGAAATTGTGATTAAAAAATAAAAAAAACACCAACCCGAAGACTTGAACTCGGATCTTTGCCGCCCGATGGCAACGTTTTACCTCTAAACTACTTGATGTAATCAGATCTTGTATAGAAAAGTCTATATTAGATATTTTTAATGTTTGTGTCGTTTCTTAATCATTTTGAATATGAGGATGCATAATTAATTAGAGATATCAATTTATGCTTGTTTATTATCGTAATTTCAAATTTAATGTGATTTGCACTTTCTGTGTTGCAATCAGCAACCCTCATAAAGAAATGTAATAAAGGTAAAATCAATTTCAAATTATATCTTATAATTTGTATTTATAATATTTAAATATTTTTATTTATTTAATTCAAACAGCTCATTTACATTACTCATAAATATTTTAGTAATCATAAGAAAATTTGATCTTGTTGCTTCCACATTCAATTCAATATATATTTATAATATGTAAAATAATTAATTTAATTATAGTATAATAAGAAGCCTACATAAATTAGGGATTAGTTTATGGAACAATGAAAATCATAAAATTGTTTGAAATAAACTACTTTAAAATATTGGAAAGATTTATGTTCATAATAGAACATAATTTGAGAGAGGTATGAAATGGAATCTATTGAAACATTTCATATAATAATAATTGAATATCTTATTTCAAAATGCATCAAGAGGAGAATGATAGCTAATTAAAGGATGTATTAATAGAAAATTAACAGATGAACCAAATACATAAAATAGAGGAGGCTAAAGAATAGCATTTAATTCAAATGTCACGTTCTTGGTAACTTGCAACTACACTAAACTAAGTCTTGTTCATCATACAGTGCAGTTTCAGTACCCTGCAAGCAAACCATGATTTGGTTTAGTTACATACATTGATAGTATACTTTTTTTAATGATTCATAAAATTGATTTATTTTTGCGCTTGCAAGTAAATGGATAATTGCATGAATTCTTCTTTCGATTTCAAAGTGCATAGATTGGATTCTTATTACACCAATTCTACTCAATCTCCAAATTCATCCAATAATGCAAAGAAATGGACATATTGATAATAAAAAGGTTTCAATTAAGGTAGATTGTTTGGATATATTTTGGCTTGTATAGTTTAAGATTAATCATACTTATTATGGATCTATTTATAGAAACGCTTCTGGAATTCAAACCCATCGATTAAAAATATTTTCACATTCTTTAGGTTATTTGTTGCCATCATCATTTTATAACTTGAGTGAAAATTATGTATTGATTGCATATTTCAACATTCCTAAATATCCATTTCTTTTTCAACAATAGGGAATTATTCGTAAATATCTATGTAATTTACTTAGAGATGACACAGCAGGATGGGGAATGGGTTAGGTTGATATTTACTCTGGATATTGCTGTAGAGATTGTTAGTTGTGTGAAGTATCATTTAAATGTAAGTCTTGTAAAAAAGGGTACTATTTATGTCAAGATGATACTTGTATATCAAGATGCTC